CAGCGGTATATGTGTGATCATCGCAGCCGCTAATTGACAGAGAAAATCGACCTCAAACAAGGATATTGGAGCCAAGGTCGTAAATCAAGAAATCAACTCACGAGTCGACCGACCTCAAAGAGGGATATTGGAGCTCAAGTCTCAAATGAACTCACGAGTCGACCGACCTCAAAGAGGGATATTGGAGCTCAAGTCTCAAATGAACTCACGAGGCGATGGACCTCAAAGAAGGATATTGGAGCTCAAGTCTCAAATGAACTCACGAGGCGACCGACCTCAAAGAGGGATATTGGAGCTCAAGTCTCAAATGAACTCACGAGGCGACCGACCTCAAAGAGGGATATTGGAGCTGTGGTCGTAAATCAAGAAATCAACTTACGAGGAGGCCGACCTCAAACAAGAATATTGAAGCTCATGTCGTACATCGACTTACGGTCGACAGGTGTCTTCAGCTACCAACGTACGTATACGTCAGCCTAAAATTTGGTCTGGTCACCATCTCAACTCCGTGATAAATTTTCAACCGGCGTGTAACGTATGTTTTTTCCTGAATAGTCGTAATGAAATCATTTCATTATACGAAGTGTTTTCAATTTACTTATTCAAGCGTTTTTTTTTTTTTGTAGAAGCTTGTATTACTCTCTCTGCAAGATTTTCGGAATGTTCAAACCAATTTCTTATTGAGAGACTCTTGCAAAAAAAAATATTTGAAAATTAATGAAAACTTCATGATACTTCTACTCTCTAAAAATTAGCTGCAGAAATTATCCATAAAATCATCATTCATTAACAATTATTTTTCTGTCTCATTACTTCATGAGGCCAGTAAAGCAAGGCGAAAAGTTAAAAACTTGACGAAATTATTAATTTAAAGTGTCTAGAAGAGATATGTGGCACAGCTGGCAGATAAAAGAAATTAATTCATAAAATTTCGTAAGAAAAACTAATTATAAGTTCAGAACAGTGCATGAGGCATCAGAGCAAAAGGAAGAAACGGACGAGACGTAAAAACACTCGAGTCGAGTAACCAAAAAATCTCCGTTAAAACGTAGCGTGCGGACATAACAGTGGAGTAATTACAGCCAGAAAGCAGCCTAGCTATAGTTCTTCAGCACCATCTGCCTGCATTGCCACAACATAGAACTTGCAACCACCTGATGCATGCTACCACCTGTCGGTCGTTCATGATAAAAGAAAGATTATTTCAACGGGAATGAGGGAATATTTAGGGTACAACATATCTGCCATATTATTAATTTTTTACATTAGCGAAGGCACGGCATAAGTTTGCCGGCCCATTTATCGGGAGAGCAGATTTTATTGTCGCCGTAGATAAAGCGGCGGCAATAAACGTTAAGCAACGTTTAGCAACTATAATGCATTACTTTTAAAATAAACGTTAAGTATAAGGTTATCGAAACGTTAAATAACGAAACTAACCTGGTCTACCGATACATCTAATTTATTTAAGATATCGGTAGAAGGGATGAAAATTTCGATGTTTCCATTGTATGACAAAAACAAAAAAATAATAACTGTGAAGATAAACACTGTCGCGGAAAAATGCATTTCTGCACATTTTCCTCAATTTTCATTGGGTGCTGTTGACGTTTTTACCCAAGCAGCATCAAGCATATGAATATTGGATCTTCAATAAATTTGAAATAATTTCTATGGTAGATATTTGAATGGATAAAGGTATGTACTATTTCTCAGTTGAATGGTTTCGAACAGTCGTCAAACGTTCATTTTTCCAATATTAACCCTGTCAAGACAACTTTAATTAAATATCATAATTTTGGTATGTCATATACCGTATAAAAGCCAATGCATTATAGGTACTCTCGAGAAGCACGGTGCTAACTATTTTCTTTTCAGGCACGGCGAATATCGTCGCAAAGAAACCACAGGCAATGGGCAATTGGTTAATGGGAAAGTGGAACCATCAATGGAGCAGCCATACAAACACGGGACTCATGTAGCGACGATTGTAATCAACAATCGTAAGCGAAACAATAGGCAATCTTGCTAGCAGTGACGGAAATTAGGGGACGTGACGAGACGGAGATCACCGCATGAATGTCGCTCTTGCTTCCGAACGTTCGTTTTCGTTTGTTCAGAAACATGAATACAAAATACAGAAGAGATGATAGAAAGCCCCCTTTCAAACGTTTTGTTTGATTTCATTCTCGGCCTTAATTTTCATTAATAACTATGCACGTGTGTCGTAGAGTATTTAAATCAATTTCACGCGAGGGACTTTTTAAATTCCTTTTATTTGACCGACAAGAAAAAGCCACAGTCGCTCGGCTAAACGTCCACCGACCAACCACTAATCTTGCCAGTGTCCGCAGCCGGTGACCCATTCAACAAGTGGGTCGTCAGAACAGGAAGCTTAAATCCTGTCAACGTATATTGCTGCGGGGACAATACTTTCCATGGACATTTCCGACGACAATTTTCACCTCCGTCCAATAACTGCTGTTACTTGTCACTCATCACGCTACATGGAAATCTGTTGAGTTACGTTACCCGAGAAGTGAGTGTGTGGATTCATTCAGAGAAATGAGTAAGATTTGTACAAATAGCGATGCACTTTTGTCCTCGTGTGGTACGTCCTATATATCACGCGGTAAAAAGGTGTCTCAATGCTACTTGCAGAAAGTGTGTAACTATTGGGACATTACGACCCTAGTCATTTTCCCAGTGCATGCAGTCGAGCATATGCAAGAGAAAATAGTTGAATTGAATTGTTTATTAGAAAGTATTAACGCTTTTACTTGCAGTTAAATTCCTTTTCATGGTAACGAATGAAATACAAAGAATACTTGAATTCGCTGTGGCTTTAACTTCACGATAATATTAATTTTAATGGACCTCGAGCAGTGATTGTAACGCACATTGTTCTCGACTTTTGTTTAGAGATGCAGTGGTCACTCTTTATGTACACAGAGCCAAAGAACATTATTTATGTTTTGCCTGTCACAGTTGATGGTCTAATTGTATGCGTTCGACCGCAAGTCTTCCACATCTGTCATTAGCTTGCAGGTGAATTGCTTGGTAACAAAAAGTGCCGAGTCATTATTGCGAGACACGAACTCCGCACGGCCGACTAAATTGAAATGAAAATTAGAAGAAAGCAAAACAATTCAGCTTGAGATTGACTTGTGAACGAGATAATTTTTCATTTAAATAGCAACCGCGATGAAATATTTTATGAAATATTTTACCCTGCCCTTTCGGGTATCCGACCTCTTCAAATACAGTCCTGATGATGTTCTATTGCATTGACATGGTCACATAAAACTTAATGATGAAAAAGAACCATACATTATTATCTAATTTGTCTAATTTCAATTTTATGTAACGTTATTTTAAATTTCAGGCATCATTTAGAATAATTAATAATAATTTGATTCGAAACAATTCACCATTTTGTTGTGAATTCTTTAAAGGAAGCAGGAAGGCCCAAGTTTATCAACGTTCAACACAGCATGCAAAAATCGACCAAATCAAAAACAAATCGAATTTTAAGCGATGAACATACAAATAAATATGAATTGACAAGAATCTACTTGACACACATATTGTAACATATTTCCACAAAGGTAAATGTATCGAATAGTTCACAATTTAGAGACTCCATTAATAACATAAAAAAAAAACAACAAACTATGAACCGGCACCTCGAATATACCCTCCAGATTGACCTACATAAACGCCTTACGCAGCAAACTCTTTACGCCGCGCATGAGGCGTAGCGTGGCAGAGAAAACTGCGCAGGAAGACGCTTATTGATCTCTGAACTCCTGATGCTGGGCGTAACGAAAAACTGATGCTTATAGGGATATTCCTCAGCGAAGCTGGATGAGGAAACAACATGCATGCATAGGAATGAGTACACACATAAATATAAGTGGACAACAACGAGTAATGTTTAATAAGCGCTCGATAAAACGCGTAGGTCATCGTAGATCACAGAGAATCGAGGTAGTTAAATCTTAAAAGGTTACGTCTAGTTTGGATGAAGCTGTATGATTCAAATATTTATCAGTATACGATATATGTGTAATAAATTCTTAACAACATAGTACTATCATTTGAAACTATGGTAGGAGAAAATTTGTGTTCATAGTGACAAAAAATAGGAATATCAAGTCAGCATTCATGGGACCATCACCGCTTCAGGACTCCGGACGTATTTTCTTTTTGTCTATTGCACGATTATTTGCTTAATTGCATGTACTTATGCGTCCTGCTGGCGCTGGAAAAAAATACTTAACGACAGTATAATTAATAGAAACTATTAGGACTTGATACCGCCATTAGTATATAATCGTGAAGTACCTAGCAGTGAATTGTAATTATTATCAAATGTTTTGTAATGAACGCGATCACTTCAAATCAAGAATGCATGACAAACTAAGTATCAGATTAAATCTAAAGTGAAACTTCCAAATAATCAAACAAATAACGCAAAATATTTGAATATTTACGAGTTATTCTAAATAAAATTTACAAGCTGAATTAATATATTTGTGAAAACCGTAGTGCATGTTGTGGCTGTGCATGGATAATTCAAGCTAGAGCCTTTATACGAGACTTAGGTATAAGTCTCGTATAGGACACCATTCTAATTTAAGGTGTCCTAAAATTCTTGGGGAGCAGACACAACACTTCAGAATTAATCAACACTCAGTTCAAATGCCATTTCATTAATCAACGCCACTTTTCAAAGTTCTTCTGGCGAGTTTTATCACCGATGAATCGATTAAAATCTATTTCATTTGGAGCTACCGAAAATTTTATTTGTTCGTTTGAAATATCATGATCACATCACAAATTGAAAGCACACGTAAATGAAAACTTTCCGATAGTTGTAGGACGGAATAAGCTTCTTTCTTGTCACCTGAAAGCAAATAATTTTTATTACGCATGCAAAACGTAGACAATTTAGAGGCAGACATGCGGAGGGAGATGAATGGTGAGGTAGGACTTACGTGTTTCATCGTGCACGTATTTAGCACATGCGTTCCGAACGGAGTGTCGAACGCAAATAAGCTTCGGAGAAACTTGACGGAACTTCTTATACGTCCCAGCCGAACGCTCCGCCTCCCTTCTTCCTTTCCTTAACAATTTCAGTCCGGCTGTAGCTGCAAGACTTTTTTTCCCCCTTCGGAGGGTAAAGGATTGAGTCAGCAGGAGTCCTATAACTAGCCGGATTCTTTACAAGGCTCTCAGTTGTTCTTGTTAAATGTTTTACAAGACATTCGCCAGAGCCTTTACTTTAGTATTGTTTACCCAACGAAATAGTCGGGAGGTTCCTAACAAATTTTAAATGGTAATGGATATTTATGTAACAAAATGGTGAAATTTCGTGCCATCGGATCGTGCTACATTAAATTTATACTTACTCAATTCGGATTTATAAAAATCTTTAGCAAACGTAAATTGAACTTGACCAGAGTGCAATAAAAGAAGAGCAGCACGTGATCAACTTTCGTCTTCATTTGGGTATCATGGCTGCTGCTCTATTGAACTTGAAAGTAAGTCGAAGAAAGCAGGGCAAAAAAAGCCCTTGAATCGTAAATATTTGAGACAACCCACCGCATTGGACCAGTTTTTGCAAGTATTGGGGACAGAAAAAACTTGCGCTCCCGCACAGCTTAATCCGGTGCGCCAACGCCCATTTCTCATAGAGAAAAACAAATTTATATAATTTTAACGGAATATAACTACTTATGTTAAAATATCGGCTGCTGTCCACTCTTACAGATTCAATTGAACATTTGTCTATCAAATTCATGGCAAATAATTCCTCCGAACTAGAAAAATGCCACAAGTATACATAAATATGAAGAAAATTCATAATTGCGAGCCCGAAATTGAAGTTCTAGTGCAATATCGTTATTAGAAGAAAAATTTGAATGAGATAATATTAAATCAGGCTCATTGTTTAAGGAAGAATCCTCACGCATGCTTCCTATTATTTGCACGAAGATTTTGTTTCTAACAAATTTTTCTGTGTTACTACGTTCACTTAATTATAGGTTCAAGATTTGTAAGCATAATTGAAGACAATTTTCAGTCGTTCGTCTTCAAAGGGAAGAAATAAATAGTTACCTAATTCCCAAACGAATTGCTGGTCTTGAGTATAAATTTGCAATGAAATTACATGAAGTTTCCGAGCATCAGCATTTTCTGAGTACGTAAGTCAGTTTAACTTATTGATGGGAATTTCAACGAATATCTCCCGACTGAACCCAGCGCATTGAATTGCGAGTAGGTACTAATGCTGCCAACCATATAGGTAGCGAACATATGGTAGTTACGGCATGTTAGTAATATTTGTTGGATGTAGTGCATCATTATATTATATGTTGTCCCAGTTGCATAAGGATTTAAGGGCGTAACGAGGCAGAGCCGACACGCTTCCAATGTTGCAGTTTTTTAGGTCATCAACGAACTGGGAAGTCGGACGTTGACAAATTTCTAAAGTGTGTTACTGTGTTTGCCTGAAGGCTAGAAAAAGCGGTATTTAGGTGAACTCTGTCCTTTAAATAGCAGATGTTGGAAAACACTCTTAAAATGCTACGCATAAATTATAGGATTACACAACTGGAAAATTAGGTTATGAGCGGATTAGTGTAATGAAGTATCAATCGATCAATTGAAATATATTACCCAATAATTCAATTCAATATCGAAACAATTAACTTTTAGGACATTTCAAGTGTTCCTAAAAGTACCTCGGATCAGCGGAAGAAAGACTCAATCGTGATTATATGAAGAGTCGTTTTCATGCGACGATCCAAAATTCTCAGTGTTTTGCAAGGGATCGCTACTTACGCCGCGTTGCAGTTTCCACAGACGAGAAAATCAATACCACAATAATCAATCTCAACGAAAAATAGTATTATCTAAAATTATCATTGACTTGATGAAATTTTATTAAAGAATTAAATTTGAATTTATTAATAAGGAAAGAGTTTGAGGGTCGTAACTAAACTTTAAATTTTATGAGATAGAATACCAGTTCAGTTACGTATATAAGTGAAAATTCCTTCACATTGATTTATTTTGTCTTTTGCATAGAGACAAAACTCATCAAAAGTACCACAAGTAAAAAGAAATTTATAATTAGATAATAAAACTTATATGTCAAATTATGACATAATTTTGTCGTCTTATTTAATAAATTGAAATAAAGTAAACTAAAATGCCAGATTTAATTTCTATGAAGAGACGACCTGTCCCATAACAGAGTTACTGGCTTGACTAATGATACTCATGTCTGAACTATCAATCCAAGCAAGTCGAGTTAACTATAATGAAGGCAATGTTCTTAAACACATTGCTAAACCAAAGCCACTACGAAGAGTGTGGCTTTACATACCAGTGCCTCCAAGATCGAAACTCCCCGACTGTAAAAAACGCGCCCGTGGGCGATAGGAAGATTCTAGATAACTGTTGATTTACAGCGCAGATCGAAGCCGAGCGAAAATATGAGTGCATGTTGAGCACAGTGATTGAAATTTGGTCGTTTTATATAGGGTTCGGATTTATAGGGTGCGATAAATCGTACTTTATGAGGGATATCTATATTGATCAGTAGTTGGGATCAAAATAATGGTGAAAAATATGCTAGCAAAGTGTAGATCCAATAAAGGAAAATTAATGCGAACTCAACAGCGCGTTCAACGAAAAACCCAACATCCACAAATAAAATATATTCACAGAATTTGTCTTGGTCACTTTCATCAGGAAAACACGAGCGCCTACAATATTTTATTTTTTCATTATTCAAAACAATTCTAGCAATCACTGAACAGATACGAAATGTTTATTACTTCACACAACAACGATAATAATTTCTGGACTTTATTTTATATTTTTTTAATGTTTTATCGCAACGAAAAGATGTTTTCATGTTAAAATTGTCACAGCCCAGAAGCCATATTCCACATCTCCGCACCATAGGCGGACGTTATTAACTAATTTCATACGTGAACACACACTCATGAACATAATGGCCACTCAAACATGATTAATGAGGTGAACACGTCATTCAAGCTCTATAACCTCTGAAGATTCGATCGTCTGGCTCCGAAAGAAACTAAAACAAAGGAGCGATTTGGAATCCAGGCCAATAAGAAGCATGACTTGTAAGCAAATCATTCGTGATAATAAAATATATAAAAAAAATCATCAGAGAATGAAAGTGATGGAAACTGAGATTGAAAAGAACAAGAAAGAGTGAAGGAATACTTGAAAGTTTACTGTCACATAAACACGGAAACTCTGCGTCTGTAGGCAACGACTCGGAACTTGATGTCAGTGATGACGGGGCTCACGTGACAGAGAAGAGGTGCAGCTAAACGATATAGTGCAGCATGAAAGCTACTACGCAACTGAACTTTTTCTATAGGATATCTTCGCATAACCGCCACTCTTTGGTAACCATCGCATAACAGCTGATGTTTAGAGCGACTTCTCACGCAAAAAAATCGAGATGAACTGGACAATTCCATCGAGAAATTTTCCATGCAGTTGAACTTTTTATGCAAGAAATCTTCATGTACTCGTCACGCTACTAAATCTAACTTGTTGCGGCTGTTACGTCGATGCGAGGCTCCACGCTGTAGCGGACTATAGAAAGTTACGCGCAGAAGAAAGAAGCCATGCCACTTTTTGTGCTACTAGGAATCTTCTGCAAGGCATCCGAAGACGAGTAGAGTGGAATTAATGATGTCTATGAGGACTGAATCCGGCAAGACGTGCGTGGGAAACTTGCGCAAGCACAGTAAACTGGTCATCACGATCACAAGCAGTGGAAATCATTATAATGTTAAGAATGCAGTTGACAATTTAGACCGAATTTAATGCAGTCATTGTCTTAAGATTGATATGATGAGGTAGTACCAATTTTAACATAACTGAAGCTTAATAAATTTTGAAAGTAGTGCAAGAGAGTTCGTATATTTTACATTACGACAAGATTTACAATCCATTTTCGAACATTCATTGATTATGACGTCAATGAATTAAACCCTTAGAGGGGAAGATATCATGTTATTGGGCTTTAAAAATTAATGAATTATATCAGGGAACTTTTAATACATAGGATTGTCTGAAGTATAAACCGAAAACACCGTAAAATCGCATGTAACTAAAGGATTTTCGCTGCTGTACTTGCGCAGATGAGAAGCGGGTGGTCACTTCGAGATAGCCATCGTTCGCCATCACAGATGTCACGTGGAAGCTCAAGATGCGAGAGACGTCGTACGCGTAGCCGTATGTTGCTCCTCGCAAATATCATTAAATTTGAGAAAAATCCGCAAACGCGTGACATTGGCGGCAGTTTGGCAAAAGAAAGCCGAGGACCATAGAAACTTTTTACAAGCGCATCAATCATTCATAATTTTAAGACAGGACTGTAAATGCTAAAGTTCATGTCTAAAAAATTACCTCTTTATAACTAGTTTATGGCTACGGGTACATTTTAGGATTATCTGCTTATTACTAGCTAATCGAAGGGGAGAAAACTACTTATCGACGTCTTATTCTCATCGCTCTGGAAGGAATTGTAGCTCATCTTCTACTTCAAACCCTGCCATAATTTCGTCTACGATACGCCCGTAGATCTTGGCTATGCTCATCCAACTCGTTAGCGGAAAATTTACGACATTTGAGCCTGGATCATGCAAGTCTTTAGCAAGCAATTTCACGGTAATGACACCGAACTTGAATTACGATCCTCAAAAATCTACCCAAACGAAATTTATGGAAGATAAACACGCTTGGGAGCCTAGAATGATAGCATTATTGCAAGGGGCATCGAGCAATCAACATGGCCAGTGGAGCACGATCATGTCTACAAGAAAACCTCATCATGTAGACAAACTTTTTATTAATCTAATGATCAGTGACGGAACTTTTGATTATTATCGCCGATTACGGACATCAAATATTGATAAAGAAAGTCGATTTGCAATAAAATTCGCGAATGCTTAACTACTTTTGCCGAAAATTTATTTTAATCAGAGCATCA